AAAGGCCTTGACAGCCTCGCCAAGAGAAGTGTTGTTCGATCCCTAATGGGTAACCCTACCATTTTAGCTCTTTTTGAGACAAAGTTCCCCTCTCGGGACCTCTTTTTTATTAAGTCTATCTAGGGTAGCAACCCCTGTGCTTGGGAGGCCAAAGACTCTCAGGGGGCCTTGACGGGTATCTGGGTAGTCTGGAACCCAAGTATCCTCCAAGGTATATCGACCCAGGTACTGGATTACTCAATGTCTGTATCTTTTCGGCGCAATGATGATAACTTCCTCTTCTTTACCATTTTTGTGCATTACCCTAACAGCCCAACCCTTAGACCAATTCTTTGGCAAGACCTATCTACCATAGCCCCCCCTCAAAATATTCCTTGGATTCTGGGTGGTGATTTCAATACTGTTAGATGGCCAATGAAAAATCTAATGGAGGGAACCTTAATGCATCGATGAGAGCTTTCTCGGACTTAATTGAGTGTATTCTTCTCATTGACATCCCCCTATTAGGGCCCTCCTTCACTTGGTCTAATCAAGCAATCTTCTCATGACACCCCTTATTAGGGGCCTCCTTCACTTGGTCTAACCCTTATCATGTTAAAGTTAGACCCTTTTTAGTTAACCAGCAGTGGGAATCCTCATTCCTTGGCACCATCTCCCGAGTTCTCCCTAAAGCAACTTCTAATCATAAGCCAATCTTAGTAGATGCCAATCTTATTAGATACCCATCACATTTCCTACACCAATAAACCTTTCAAGTTTAAATTACTCTGGCTTGCAGAACTAACTTTCTCATTTCTGTTCACTTTAGTTTGGTCTTCCACCAATGGGTGGCTGGTTTTAAGCTTACGTGTAACTCCAAAATCTTAAAGCCACACTTAGGCAATGGAATAGGGATCTTCTTCCCACAAACTTTAGAAACCCGATTAGAGCTCTCTCAACCATTATTTCAGATCTGGACCAAGTGGAAGAATCTAGACCCCTAACCTTTTTAGAAAGACAAGATAGAATCCAAGCCAAAATTGACCTTTCACTGACCCTAAAACAAGAGGAGACTTACTGGAAGCAAAGATCTATGATCAATGATTCAAATAGGGGGGCAGTACTACCGCTTTCTTCCACAAGACTTACTGGTACTAGAGATCTAGGATCAATGATTCAAATAGGGACACTGTAATACCGCTTTCTTCCACAAGACAGCTAGTTCTAAACGAAGGAGAAATGTTATAACGCAAATCACAGTAGGTCCCCAAACATCTAACCCTGCCCACATAAGCCGACCCTTCATCAAATTTTTCTCAAACCTCTTTTCTTGGCCCAACCACCCCCGTCCTATCTTAGGCAATATAGCTTTCAAATCTATCTCCCCCGAAGACTCTGCTAACCTAGAAAGGCCTTTTACTATTGAAGAAATTGGAAGGAAAGCTGCATTCGACCTTCCAAAAAGATAAAGCCTCAGGACCCGATGGATTCCCTATGGCTCTATTTCAAACGCTCTGAGAAGAAATAACCCCGGACTGGCTAGCCTTTTTTCAAGAATTCTTTTTAAGAGGTAGGATCAACCCAGCCCACAAATGCACTTTTTTAGGCTTGATCCCCGAACTAGAGGGTGCCCATAGGATGAAGCACGTCCACCTGATCAATCTCCTTAACTCCTCATACAAAATCCTTGTCAAAGTCCTAGCAACTAGGCTTCAACAAATTTTAGATTTAGTCATCTCTCCTTCTCAATCTACCTTTGTTGCTAACAGACAAATTCTGGATGGGGCCCTTACAGCCCACGAGACCATCCACTCTAGATCTCTTTTGAGACAACCAGGTCTCATTATCAAATTAGATTAGGGGAAGACCTATGACAATGAGACTGGGACCTCTTTGATTCCATCCAAAACAAAATGGGCTTCGATCCCACTTGGAGAAAGTGGGTTTCAGAATGTATGTCAAACCCCTCTTTCTCCATTCTAATCAACGGATCCCCGGAGGGCTTCTTCCAGTCTTAGAGAGGCCTAGGTAGGGAGATCCCCTGTCGCCCTTCCTATTCACATTTATAGGGGAGCTTTTCAGCCAGACCCCTTTCTAGACTTTGTGATGTTGGCTCCCTCTCGGGGTTTCGGACATCTCCCTTTGGAACATCAATTTCCCACCTCCTCTATGTTGATGATACTCTCATCTTCTGTGAGGCCAACCTTTCCCAAGTGGACTGCCTCTGGCGTTTCTTGAGAACTTTTGAACTGCTATCTGGTATGAAAGTCAATTTATCCAAGACTAAAATGATGGCCATGTTGACAATAAAGTTTTACTCAGTTTGGCCTCGAGGCTAGGTTGTGCCACAGAGGGCCTACCCTCCTCGTATCTGTCTCCCCCGCTTAGAAAAACTAAAAAAACATATGTGGGACAACCTTATAGAGTAAACAAACATTTGTGATATTGGCTCCATCTCGGGGTTTTGGACATTTCCCTTTGGAACATCAATTTCCCACCTCCTCTATGTTGATGGTACTCCCATCTTCTATGAGGCCAACCCTTCCCAAGTGGACTGCCTCTGGCGTTTCTTGAGAACTTTTGAACCTGCTATCTGGTATGAAAGTCAATTTATCCAAGAGTAAAATGATGGCAGTTCATGTTGACAATACAGTTTTACTCAGTTTGGCCTCGAGGCTAGGTTGTGCCACAGAGGCCCTACCCTCCTCATATCTATGTCTCACCCGCTTAGATAAACCAAAAAAACATATGTGGGACAACCTGGAGAGAGAGCTTCACTTGGAAATTTGCCTCCTGAAAAGAGAGCTTCACTTGGAAATTTGCATCTTGGAGAGAGAGCTTCACTTGGAAATTTGCCTCCTGGAGAGAGAGCTTCACTTGGAAATTTGCCTCTTGGAGAGGTGGATACCTGTCTTTTGGAGGAAGAATCACCTTCATTCGAGCTACTTTGGCCAGCATCCCCATTTACTACATGTCTCTATTCCAAATTCCTATTTCAATAATCCAAAAACTGGAAAAACTCATGAGAGCCTTCCTATATAGTCAGGGGGTAGATGAAACGAGGAGAATCCACTTAGTTGTTTGGGATCTAGTATGTGGAGGACTAGGAATTAAAAATATCAAAACTATGAATCGTGCCCTCCTTGGTAAGTGGTGGTGGAAATTTTCTTCCCCCCATCCTCTCCTATGGAAAGAAGTCATTCAAGCAAAATATGGGTTGCATAACAATGAGTGGCTTCCTGGATCCCCCCCACATAGAGATCCTCACGAATTTGGAAAAGCATCTCTTCTAGCAAAATAGACTTCATCAATAAAACCAGATTCAGATTTGGCAATGGCCTTAGAATAAAATTTCGGACTGATATCTGGTTAGGATCGTCTCCCCTTTCCTTGCCTTTCCCCTCTCTCTTTTTAGCAGCTAAACAATCAAGTGGCTCTTGTAGTAGACAATGCGGTCTTTTCTGGCTCCAATCTGGCCTGGACTCCTATTTTTAAACGTAATTTTAACGACTAAGAATCCACCTCCGTTATCTCTCTGCTTCAACTTCTAGGAAGATCTTTTAGCACCTTATCACGACCCCATTCCTTAATCTGGTCTCGTTCAAGCGGCTCTTGTAGCAGACAATGCCGTCTTTTCTGGCTCCAATCTAGACTAACCTTAACGACTAAGAATCCACCTCCCTTATCTCTCTGCTTCAACTTCTAGGAAGATCTTTTAGCACCTTATCACGACCCAATTTCTTAATCTGGTTCCCTACCCCCTCGGGTTCTTTCTCAGTTTCATTCTTTTATTCCTCCCTCTTCTCAACCTAACTTGGTCTCTACCCATCCCCCACAAAATCCAGGCCTTCATTTCCTCTTAAAAGGTAAAATCCTCACCTTAGATCACCTCCAAAGAAGAGGATTCTCTTTCCCAAATAGATGTATCCTCTGTCTCCAAGAAGAGGAGACAAATTCCTACTAACCCAGCTTTTTGAAACCTACTGTGCATCACCTTTCTCAAAATTAGGTAAAAAAACTTTGGCACCTTCCAGTCGGGCTTTCTTTTGGAGCCTCTGGCTAGAGAGAAATTCTAGGACCTTCAGAGGTATACAGAAAACAATTCAGTCTATTTTTTATTTCCTTTTGGGCTGCTCTCTATCTTCAGTCTATATCTCTCTTCTTTGAAGACCATCTCAATGGGGCTTTGTTTTGGAGCCTATGGCTAGAGAGAAATTCTAGAACCTTCAGAGGTATACAGAAAACAATTCAGTCTATTTTTTATTTCCTTTTGGGCTGCTCTCTATCCTCAGTCTATATCTCTCTTCTTTGAAGACCCTATCGGCAGAATGCACAGCTATTTTAGAAGCCCTCTCGTCAGCTGCTAATCCCGCTACTCAGCAGACCCTTTTCGGATCACTTCCAAAGATAGCCCTTCTAAGAAGCTCTGCCTGACGAATGAAGACCACCCCATGAAGTCTATTCATTCTCATCTCTCTCCTCAACTCGGATAGGAATCAGCATCGATGCATCAATTGTCCCGTCAACTCACTTCCTGGATGGGAAATTACTTTCCCTTCCAAAGGTCCCAGGGGATCAGAAGCTCATTTCATACTCAGGACACCCAGATCTCCCTAGTACAACAGTTTACAGCGATTGATCACTCTCACAAAAGAGCCCCCACATAAGAGCGCCAAGAATTCAAATCAAAAGCAGCGGTGCCTATTTATGCCTTTTCTTTCTCTATCTTTATTTTAATTTTACTATATCCTCTTCTTTCACCAAGAAACACGAAACTATGAAACAAGAAACTGATTCAGAATCAATTTTGTGAAAAATTCACAAAATCAGTTGCAGATGAAAAGAATCCCTAAATCATCTTATGATTCAAAAACTATGGGGATGAGAGAAAATCACGAGAATATAACAAATTCCTCTCTGATGAAAAAACCCAAACTAGATTCTAAACAAGCAGGCAGCTAAAATTTCAGAGAACTATTTACCAAAAACTAAAGTTTAAAAAAACAAAAACTTTTTATTACCTCTGGTTTGGAGCACTGCATTCCTGGTTGCTGCCATATCCTCTTCCTGATTTTGCCCAAAAACAATAGCTTCAAGACTCAAAATACCATAATAAAAGAAACAACGGAGACATTAACAAGAGAAAGAAAAACCAGGCTCATCTTCCTCTCTATCTCTAACCCTTCTCTCTCTATCTTCGGCACATCTCTTCTCTCTTCTCTCTATCTTCGGCACATCTCTTATCTCTTCTTTCTCTCTCTTCTCTCACTTTCTCTCTCTAAGCTCCCTAACTTTGGTCTCCAAATGGCGTTGTTCCAGTCTGATATATATAAAGGTTACGCCATCAACGGTCATCTATTTGTGACCGTTGGATTTGTTTCATCCAACAGGATGGTGGAATAAGCTAAAATTATATCAACGGTGGAAAATCGTCTTCCGAGTGGAAAACAGCCGTTGGAGGTGAGTTAGAAAATGCCCAAATTCTCCCTCTATTGAAAGAGATTTATTTCGTGTGGGTTTGTATGGAGCCGAGGCTCTAAATAATCAAAGTATGCCTTGAAATAGTATGAAATGTGGTTTCAATAATTTAGAATATATTTTTATTTTTAATTGTAAAATTTCAAGCTTAAAAAATAATGCAGATTGAACAATTTATGAAAATCTTGAAAATTGGCGGTCCCAAAATGTATTACAAGATATACTATTTTCAAAACTTGAAATCCATTTTTTCTCATATCTTAATGTCGAGATGATCAATTTGAGGATATTTGAGCATCAAAACAAACTCGTCTAATGAAATTTTTGAGGTGTGCCTAATTTGATTGTTTAGAGCATCGCCCCTATTTAAACATTTTTCTAAAACAAATGGTCTAAATACTTTTTTCATAAAATTATCATTTTCAATATTTCAAATTTATTTGTTAATATATTCATAATATCCATATTAAAAAATATATATTCCTTAATGTTAAGTCCAAAATTTATCTTAAAAATAAATTTTAAGAGGGGACTCATTCCTACATACGAGTCCCATGACTTATAGAAACCATATCCCTTTCTAATTACTATGTGATTACTATGAATGCCAGCCATGTTACTTAGAGAGATGGAATAAGAGAGATTTGAAAGAAGTGAGAGAGAGAGGAAAAAAAAAGGAAAAGGTTTATATAGAGCTAAGGCTCTAAACAATCAAATTGGAAAACACCTCAAAAAAAAAATTTAAAGAAACTACCCACGTCGGTCCATCTTTAAGATAGATGTTTTATACCTTTAGGGATACAAATGTAGGAATTTACCCTTTGATGCATACAACAATTTTCCATTCTGAAAATCGTGATACCTCAAATAAAAAAAGATTTGAGAAAGGGAAAAAGGAATAGAAATCCAGAAAACGTGATGTCCCTACCACATACATATGAAAAGGGAATAGAAATCCAGAAAACGTGATGTCCCTACCACATACATATGGAAGGGTCAAGCTTTCTCTTAAGGCGTGTTTGCCAACTGGGACTTCAATTATCAAACAACAAAGGTTCTAGCCCACAAGTCAAGTTCTAAGTTTGGTTAGGATGGGGCTGTGAGGTCTGGGGAGTCCACTTAATCCAAAAATGTAAAGTGTGGTCCTCCACCCCACCCCATGGAGAGCAGCGTTTCAAGGTTGTAAAATATCCATCTTATTTTTTTTTTACTCGGACTTTCCTATTTTACCATCCCAAAGCCCTAACTACTCTCACAAAGCCTTGTCTCTCACCCCACATAGAGCACTCTCATTGCACCTTCGAGCAACCCAAATGGAACCCTACACCAAGCTCTCTCCTCCTCCCACCAGATACACTCACTCTCTCTCTCTCTCTCATGCTCTCTTTTCCTTCTCTCAGAGCTCTCTGCCTCTCATCTCTCTCCCACCCAAAATTTATTTTCTCTCCTCTATGAACTCTCTTTTCTCTCTTTCATTTCACCCATAGGCCCAAAAACCTAAATCTCTCCCTACCCTCCATTTCTAACCCAAAGGGAACTTAACAAAGGCAAACCCGTCGCACCCGTTGACTCTCCTTTAGCATATAATATCTCTCTAAAACCATCATCATCTATTTAGGCTTTTGCTTTAGCAAAACCCAATAAATACTAATTCAATGCCATTCCCATAAATTTGTCACCAATTTGCTATGATTAAAAAGTAGTCTAATGAAATATAGGGACCAAAAAAATATTCATTAGTTATTTTTTGGGCCTTTGAAAAATAAACTTTGTAGATACCACCCCCCC